GGCCATTCTCCACGCGGTTAAGCTACCGGCCAACCGGCCGATATTAGTCGTAACTGACTCACACAGCGTGATATTGGCCCTAACAACAGAAACACCGAAGCATCCGTGGATCCAAGGAACGGTAAAACCCAAGGACGCCAAACACAGTATTCATGTGGGTACCCGGTCACTGCGGAATCCAAGGGAACCTAATAGCCGACCACCTCGCCGGCTTAGGCCACACCGGACCCAGGTCCACCGGCAATGTACCGCTCCAAGATGTCAAAAAGTGGATCAAGCGGACGATTTGGAGAGCCTGGGACACCGAGTGGAGGAACAACAGGACACACCATCTTCGGAAGATCAAGGCGACCACCGGAACCTGGAAGGATCGACCAAACCTACGAGAACAGCGAGTGGTGTCAAGGCTGCGCACCGGGCACAGCAGAGGCTCCCACAACTTCGGAGGAACACCGTTCCGGAGGACCTGCGAAACCTGAGGAGTGCCAGCCACCGTGGAGCACATCCTCGTGAACTGCGCGGAGTTGGAAGACCTTCGGGCTGCCTTCGGCTTGGAGTCAATCAGCATTCGGGCGACGAGTCCCCGGCAGCAGCCGCTCTCATCACCTTCCTAAAGGAGGCGAACCTTTACCACAATATCTGAGTGTTCCTTGTTTGTATTTCCGTTTTGTTGGCCCTTTTGGCAGTTTTCTACACCTTTTAATTATAGCAAGATAAATGTACCACAGCCAAGATTGGGAATCTCCTTCTGAGAACCCATTTTTTTTCTCCATTTTTCAATCTTAAGAGATGAACTGGCCATATGGCTAAAAATCTCTATAATAAAGAAAGAAAAAAAAAGTACGGAAAACAAGATCGACGGAAAACAAATCAAGGAAAAAAAGCCTGTACCGTTTTTGCAGCCGCCTCCAGCATGGCCTTGCTTTATAGCTGTGCCTTTATCGACTAAGCTAACGGAGGCCCAAAACTTTGCTACCATATCGTATTCAATTAATAGATTGTAATTAACTAAACGAAACATTGATAGCTTATCTATCCAGAAAAAAAATCTGAATTCTACCGGTGATGTAAACATTCATGCATGCAAACATTCATGCATGTAAACTTCCTTTTTAGCACTCTTTACTGAAAAGTGTAACTTTTCGACACTGTTTTGAATCACATAATCTTCAGGAGCATAAATTCATCCAGATCTCCTACATCTTTATGGTGACCAGCAAATCATGATTAACAATTTCCGGGTTTTTTCCCCGTTTTCGGAAATTTGGGGATTTTTCCGAAATAGCGATATACATTTGAATTAAGCATAAAGCTGAATGCGATTAAATGGATCTTTTATAAGACAGCAACACCTTTCTGACTCTTGAACTTGATTCTGCGACACGTTCTAAGTCTTCGCTCTAGGGTTACTACCAGTCACTTGCTATAAAAATCGGTTTTTTTGAATTATGAAATCATTAGACGTTATAATAATAATTAGTACTTGTAAGTTACAAGAAGAGGTTACAAAGTAGGTGTTTGACGCATAAAACCTATAATTGTTGCTTTCAGAGCGTCACAATAAGCGATTTTACGATTCGTGAGTGCTCACTTTGAGTGAACGTTCACCAATCATAACATGCTAATTGTGACGCTCTCCAAGCAAAATTGACAGGTTTTGAAAGACAAACACATACTTTACAACCTCTTATTCCATGTTTCAAGAACTAATTATTATTATAACTTTTCATTGTTTTCATAATGCCGAAAAACAACTTTTATAGCAAGTGAGTGCAAGTAACCCTGCTCCGCTCAAAACTTTACAGGCTTTTATTTGATTGAGAGTTCTTTTCTGAATTCTTCGAAAATAAATTTGAAATTCTCTCTGGAATTCCCTTTAAAATGTCTTTATAACAGTCCAGAATTATCTGTAGAACACTTCAAGGAATTCTTAAAATTCGTCCTTAGATTCTCTTCGAATTTTAAACTCTTTCTAAGAATTCACTGGTGCTTCATTTTTTTTTAATTGCTTGAAATTCTCCGTAGAGTTCCTATACTATTCACCTCAGATTTTTGACCAAAAATTGAAAAGGGCCTATTAGCTTTTATGAGCAAAACTTGCAATCCCCCTTCCTTGCCAACACCATCGGACAGGCGAAATTCTCCCGCCGATAATTAATTTCAAATTTTTTGTTCAGAATTATCTTGGCGTTCTCCTCTAATTTCTTCTGGAAATTGCATGGAATTCTCATTAAAATTCTCTAGAAATTACATTCAAAATGCGCTTGGAATTATCCTCGGAATTTCCTTACAGATCTTCGTACAATTATTTTGGAGCTGTACCCTCAAAATTCGCTTCCCTTCGTATTTTTTACAAATCCTGGGATCCCCTTCAGTCTTGGGATTTTTAGTAAAAACTCCTGAAGCTCCCTAGAAAATATTCTCTGAAATACCTTAGTGTTAACTCTAGAATTTATTCTAAATTCTGCTCAAATTTGTTTTGGATAAAACTTCTAAAATTATCATAATAGTTCTTCAAAGTGACTGTATCCTGAAAATCGAGTCCAGTTCAAGGGTCATCTATCGGTTTTTTCCGGTTCACTGGTCACTCTGCATCTTACATATTAAACGCTTATTTTTAATCCCAGTATGTTTGTTTTGTTTTGAGCACATTTTGAGACTCAGCTCCGCAAGAAAATTATTCCGGATAATACGCTTAACCAAAAACTAATTCGCGGATGGATTCATCCAGTGAGAAATCGTAAAAAACAGCGCTTTTATCTCCTAAATTCTGTAAGTTAAATCCATCTAAATTGAAATAGTTGCAACATTAAAATACTAAAACTTTACTAAGAAGCTAATTTTAAGAAGTAACGAGAGTTTCAATAAAGACCTATAATACTCAACAAAGCCACTCTATGCTGTCAAGGCAATGCTTGTCTACGTATTTTTGAATCATTATTCAATCATATAAGTGCTACACCAAGCAATAAAAAAATATTCTCAAGCAAGACCATTATCCTAAATTCTCATTTAGTTAGTTCTCTGAGCTAATCAAGCTGTTAAGAACAGAAAAAAGGAACAATAACTAGAAGTATTCAGAAAAAATCTTCATCTTCTCTTAAAGCTGGGTTTATACAAGATAAGTGAATTGGTCAACTCAGTTGAAACCATGCCATGCCACTCTTCAAGCCAATTGAATCGAGCTGAGTTGATCAATGACTTGCCTAAACCCAGTTAACTCTTTTCCGTTCTTACATTTACTCAAAGGCGCTCCAATGCGTTCAACGGATTGATATTTGTTGGACACAGCTGGATCGAACAGATACACCAATCTACTCGAAGATTGAATTTTGTCAGACGCAACTAGGTGTGACATCTTTTAAGAAACGCTCATACCCATTAGCAGCTTAAATTTTACAACAATTAACAGCGTCTAGCTTCTACAGAAATGGATTTTCATCTCAGTTCAACTCAGGAATCTGACAACACCCAGTGGGAGCTGAATTTATAATAGGCTCAAAACCATCGAAATACCTTTTTGTTTGAGTAACTTTGGCTCAACTTGCAAAAATTCAACATCAAGTATTGAACAACCGTAAGTTCGCAACTCTATTTAAAATTTGAAATAAAATACCATTCTCAAACTATACCGAGTAATTTAGTTGTTTGAATCCAGCGAAGTCAGTCGTACTTATTAATAAGTTTCGGTTGTAAAGAAATATTTGCCGGAATTTGAATTTACCGAGATTCCCTGATTTTCCAGGTCCAAAAAGGAATTCCCTGATTTTCCAGGTTTTTCCAGGAAGTCAACACCCTGTTTCAGCTATGAATAGTAGAGCATTATATTATTCAAAACAGTGTCGAAAAGTGACACATTTTCAGTGATAAGTGCTAAAAATGTTGCATAAAAAGCTACTTCACGTAAACTAGCGACTTGTAAAGAAAGTTGCATACAAATATGGACGGTTGCATACAATATTTTGAATATTTTATGAAATGTCTTATAAATGTATACGATCTATAATGTAGTGATATATCATACACGAAGCTCCTTTTATGTGCATCATAGTAACATACATTTACACTACTTTTTCGAAATGTAAAAAAATTAACAATTTGGGTTTTATGAAGGTTCTGTAGACCATAATTTAGACTCATAGAATACTTTAAAACCACGACAAAACGTAAAATGTTACCCGGGTATTCTACTATGAGTCTATCCTTCTTTACGAAGGAACTACATTTCATCAATACGAAGGTTAGTAAGAGTCATTAGTTAGTAAGAGTCATATTTAGACTCATTCATCTGGCATCAATTTTGTTAATGACAATGGGAAAATGTTGAATGAATGTTTAATGAACTTCAACTTATTTGCGTGTATCAATCTAGTAAATCAACATTCTTCAATAGCTTGTGCAATGAAAGCATAGGCAATTGCATTGCCGACAGTATTCATACTACACTTGCACAAAGTTGAGCGGTTCTTCAAGGTGGTGCGCTTCTGAAAAACGATTCAAGAATTCCGGTAGAAATTCAATTACGTTACTAGGAATGGCTAAATCTCAACGTAGAGTGGATGTATTTAGGTTTATTTTGATTAAATCAATTCAATCATTTTTTATTTGTTACATGAGTTGTGGAAGTAAATATAATAGTTACAAATGTTCACCACAAAATAAGCTTTATCTTGTAACATTTCGGTTGTGTGTGTATGTTATATTGTGGATGTCTGCCGCTAAAAATCCGATATCATCTAATGTGAGTAAATGAGACTGATTATGCTCATGACTCATTGCCCTGGAGCGCTTATACAGATGATAATCTATATTATAGTCCCAGAACATCAGCCCATCGGTTCCGCCTAGCAACAAATATATTCCACTCAAGCCACGATGCTTCCACCATCAGCTCGTGAAAAGGAAACCCATTATCCACACTCAATTGAGCACGCATATATATATTTTTTTTCCCCACACCACTAATCGTAATAATCAACACCCTACAGTTCGATACTTACTCCTCCGTTTGCGATCTAACGAGTCCCAAAAAGTGTACGGCAAACTCCTCGATCGTGCAGCGCCGTGGATCGCTCCGCTGTTTCGCCAAATTTCGTCCAGATCGATTCGGAAACACATGGAAAGAGAAAAAAAGAAGAAGAAAAGTACGCACACCGATTAGAATCGTAGAAAAAATCAAACCAACTTCCATGTAAAGCAACATAGTAACATCCATCGAATTTTGTTTTCAAATGTCGCCGACTGACCCAAAACAGCCAACTCACCCCCGTTTTCGGCCGGATTCGAACTCAAACACAAATCATGTATTTCTGCGTATGTCCGCCCTTGGCAATATTTGACCTGGGCCATGGTCACGCAGTGCATTGGCGAAACAAGTGAAAAAACAGCCGGCGTCAATATTTAATCGCTAGACAAATATAGGCAATGGTTCACCCGGCTAAGAGTGACAACTACCTAGTTAGTCGTTGCCTCTATGAGCTTGAGCCGAGAGTCGGTATTAGAGGCACATGTGGTTCGGTCGTAGATGGGAAGCGGGGTTTGTCGCTTGTTGAAGTAATGTGCTGATGGCTGATGACAAAGTGTACATTTTTGGCCTAGTGGGTAGTTTGCAGCATACGTGTGTGTGTGTGTGAGCTCTCAGTTGAAGGTCGCTTGGGAGTTGAACTTTACGAAAAATTGTTTGGTTCGATTGCTTCCTTCCTATCGCTTAACACGGCAGAGAAGGATTGCCGATGCCAGGAGGCGGTGGGGAAATAGTATACATATGTGGAAAAGTACATGTGCACATGAAGTTAGTTTCCGAAAAAGAATTAAAGTGAGGTCAGGGGATTGTTTGGGCGTTTTAGGCATTCTAATTGTTCACCAAAAGTTCAGAAACTTGGAATGAGAGTGCCGATTAATTCCTGTCACTTGTAGCATTTGAGTAATAAATCAAGTCGGATGACTCAATCAGACAGTTCATATTATTTTCAAACAGAAACGGATAAGTACTGCGTGATATGAATGATTCAATAGAAGAAAAAAACTACATTCTATAAGATTTGAATGAAGGCTTCCCGAATGGAAATGTATGATTACTTTTTAGTGTTTAAATCAACATACGAAGCCGCATACATCATGATTATGTTACTATCGTCATTCGCCCTTACATTGAAAATGAGTTATATGAACCCAACCTACTGGTACTATTTATATTTTTCTTCTTTCTGGTTTTTAAAGTTTTTACATGGCTGCGCAATTTATGGCAAAAATACGTTAGGCATAACAAGTAAAGTTGACTCAAGACGTCCTCCTTTTTCAACAGGCATCCGACGAATAAGTCTGATATCTCACGGCTTTGGGAGAAACTCTCAACTTCTCAAAATCGGGTCCATTGAAGGTCTAGATCATCGAATATAACCTCAAATAGCCTAGTCAGTTAAGACACGGTATTCCCAAGCCGGAGGCGGATGGTTCGATTCTCGCTAAGGTCTATAAAATCTTTAATGATCGAAATTTCCTTGACTCTCCGCAGGAGTATTGGAGTAGCAGCATAGGAGTATTGATCGAAAACCCAAAACTTGATAACTTAAAAAAAAATCAAATAGGGGAATTTACGTATTCTCGTCAATCTAAGCAGCATCCGGACTTCTATTAGCAATTTCTCAGCGTCACACACATATATGACGGGTTTGTTTATTGACATTTATCTGCTGCTTGCTGTTCTATCAATTCCAATCGACAGAATTGATCAAAACGGGTTGAACACGTTTTTACAACGCTCCAAACTTCTCAGTGTGACTATTGTCGGCAGTCTCTTTTTCTTCGGCACCATTTCCATTTGAACTGCGTGTTAACCAGCTGTTCTATTATCGGCAACTTGAAATCAGCCGTATTTTGTAGTGTGTATATTTCATTTAAAGAAAAACCTGGCATAACAGGATTGCTCAGTCGTAAAAATGTAATAAGATTGAAGCTGAAAGGGTAAGGAATCGGTTGAATACATTCAGCGAAGAGTTTTGATGGGAAAATACAGTGAAATTAATGTTTCAATTTCGGTTGCCGAAAACAGTCAATGGGTGCCGAAGCCATAATTTACCCTACTAAAAAAAAACACTTTGCTGATTTTTATATGTTGTGTAAAAAAGCCAAAATTTTCAAGGAAAAATATAAATATATATTGTGCTCTCTCTCAAGAAACCATGAAAGCCATGAAAAACAAAGACAATAAATGTTTTTCAATATAGAATCCCAACTTTTAATATCCGTAGATTTTTCCTAAACAATATTTTTAATTACCTTTCATTAGCTATTTTGATCTGTTGAAATTTGAAAGTTGTTCAAAAGTTATAAATTTTTCAAAAACAGTTATTTTTGAAAAAAGTTACTTTGAATCTATTTTTTGGACTACCCTAACATGGAAATGGTCACCGTAATGACAAAATAAAAAATACGAGTCTAGTTTTTTGAAATAAGGAACAACACTATCATTTTTTACGAAATTCATGAACATAATAAATAAAAGAAGCCCTAATACACTTTCCTGAAGAGGTTTTGTTAGGTTTTTTTTATAAGGGAGACTTTCAGTCTGGTTGGTTGGTTCACCACCTGTCACCATTTGCAAGAGAGTTCGTGGGGCAATACCAGGCGGGATTCATGGGTGCCCGCGCTACCAAATTTTCGCGATTCGGCAGGTTCTGCAGAAATGCCGCGAATACAACGTGCCCACACATCATTTGTTCATCGATTTCAAATCCGCAAACGACACAATCAATCGAGATCAACTATAGCAGATTATGCACGAGTACGGATTTCCTGACAAACTGACGCGATTGGTCAAGGCGACGATGGATCGAATGATGTGCGTTGTTCGAGTGTAGGGGACACTCTCGAGTCCCTTTGAATCTCGAAGGGGGTTACGGCAAGGTGATGGACTTTCGTGTCTGCTGTTCAACATCGCGTTAGAAGGTGTGATCAGAAGAGCTGGGATAGACACGAGTGGCACGATATTCAGGAAGTCCATCTAGCTCCTTGGCTTCGCCGATGACATTGACATTATGGCACAGAACTTTGAGATGATGGCGGAAACGTACATCAGACTGAAGGCTGAAGCTAGACGGATTGGACTTGCCATCAACGCATCAAAGAAAAAATACATGAAAGGAAGAGGGTTCTAAGGAAGACAATGTTAGCCTCCCACCTCGAGTTCAGATTGACGGTGACGAAATCGAGGTGGTCGATGAGTTCGTGTATTTGGGCTCACTGGTGACCGCCGAAAATGATACCAGCAGAGAAATTCAAAGACGCATTATGGCAGGGAATCGTACCTACTTTGAACTCCGGAGGACCCTCCGGTCGAATAAAATTCGCCGCCGCACGAAGTTGACTGTCTACAAGACGCTGATTTCACCGGTGGTCCTCTACGGCCACGAGACCTGGACTATGATCGTGGAGGACCAACGCGCCCTTCGAACGGAAGGTGTTGCATACCATGTACGATGGCGAAGGCGAATGAACCACGAATTGCACCAGCTGCTGGGAGAACCATCCATCGTCCACATTGCAAAAATTGGGCGACTACGGTGGGCTGGGCACGTCGTAAGAATGCCGCACGACAATCCAGTGAAAATGGTTTTAGAAAGTGACCCAACAGGAACAAGAAGAAGAGGCGCGCAGCGGGCAAGGTGGATCGACCAAGTAGAAGGTGACCTGCGGACCCTTCTCATACTACGAGGCTGGCGAACTGTGGCCATGGATCGAGTAGAGTGGAGACGACTTCTTTGGACAGCAGAGGACAACAACCCGAGTAACACAAATTAATAGAATTATGTTGAGTAAACTGCTTTACAACCAAAACCAGTCATATAAAGGTTATATAAACTGATATAGAACATGTGTGTTGCTTGGGAAGGCCTTAGCCTGATTGGTAAGGTAAGGTTGGTTCACCTTTGAAAACTTCCCTGAAGAATCAAAAGTGATTCCACGGGGGACTAGACTTCTAATAAGAACCGACCTTAGAGATCCGTTACACAAATAGCTCTCAAAGCGCTTTCTTGTTTTTTATTCATTTATTTATTTGATACGGCTCAATCGAATTAACTTCACAGAGCCAATGATTCTGGTACAATATGCAAAACATCATAAAACTATCGTCAAAAAGTACAACACAATAAACACTTTATCTTCCGCTTTTCAAAAACCTACTCCATCAGAACGGCAGCCGCTTATAGCAGTTTCTTTGTATGGCAGTATCGCCAACGAGGGGCAGAGCGCATCAATTGCAGCAATGGACGCAAAACGTGGTCATCACTTAAACACTCATTACGAAACGGTTGCTTTCCCAAGTCGACGACGCATCGACCAAAAGAACTGCTGATGAAGAACAATGAGGAGGACCACACAATGGTTGCTGCCGAGTAAACAGACGATCGCGTTGCACACATCGAGAGAACACTGATGAGACAGCCGAGTGAACACTGATGAAGCGCCGTATTGTGTGTAATACCAATTAGCTATCGTAAACATTAAGTATGTTTACAATGCATTGGTAACATATTTTTGTTTTACTTACGCAAAAAATAAATGATAAATACATGGTTTCCAATTCATTATTCAATTCTGAAAAGTGATATGTATGCGTTTGAAAGCTGATAACTGAAATAGTTTAGTGGTGTAAGGCACAATTTCTAAATTACCATGCGGATAATATTTGGAGCTTTGAGCTTACTGTCTATCGTTTGCAAACAAATACTACTTTCTTTGATGATAACAACTGATAACAAAATTAGTCAAGGTTGATACCTAAATAATTAATGCGATAACAACTGAAAATAAATTGATATCTGGAATTACAAGACTTGTTCCCTAGATGGTATCAGGCTGGTATTATACTTTGTTTGGGAAATGAATAGTTGCGTTCCATTTCCCATTAATTTCCCCATACAAAATTTAAACTTCTCCCGCAAATCTAGATTTTAACCATATTCGTTCAAATTTGGTACAGTTGTTGGGACCTCAATACATATCGGAAGAACAGTATAGAGAAGGGGGTTTTAAAGTTAAGAGCTAGACTTCATTGGAATACAAATAAGCTTTTCA